TTTAAAAAATCTCATATTTAATTTTGATTCTGTTTAAAGCAGATATTTAGATGTAAAAGAACACAAATCTGAGAAATTTTGGTACTTTTGCGTTATCTGCCCAGCGCTTTCGCAAAGTAACTAAATGATGGCGACTACTTTTTGCCAACCTAATATGTGAAAAACATAGCTATTTTAAAAGAATGGCTGTGTGCTGAAAATGACTTCAAACAGCAATGAATAAACAGAATTAAAAACACAAGAAACATCCATGACGAAATAATAAAAATTATAAAAAACATCCATAATAAAACACCCAAAATTTTATAAAACACTAACAACTTAACTAAATTAAAAATGCATCATACATTCAGAATAAAATGGTTAATGCTAGTTTTTGGTCAGTGTGCACAGCTAGCTGTTTTAACTGGAAAAAAAAAAAAAAAAAATTAAGAATTGTGCGGAGCAAACAGGTACTGCTCTCTATGCGTGTATTGACCTATTCTAACCCAAGGTGGGGGGAATACAGAATTTTTGACCTCGCAGACCAAAGTGGCACTCCTCTCCATGTACACATCAGAGTGTTTTAATTTAATAATAATAATAACTGAAAGCTTTCAGATTTTATGTTACTTCCAATTCCATTTTTTTAACGATTTGCATGTTATCTTTATTTATTAAATATCATGTTTTTAGCACTTAAACCATAAAATTCAATTCAACAGCAATATCATATAATTTTAAAAAAACATATCTTTAGAATTTCCAATACATGGTCTCGCATGCTGGAGATAAAAATGTTTTTCTCGTACAGTGTTGCCATTGCTTGCTTTGAAATCATTGAGTTTGTTAATAAAAAATTCTTTAATGTTTGACAAAATATGAAATGGATAATGAAAAAATTTCAAATTTCAAATCTGGGCTTCCAGATGCCCACATCTGAATAGAAGACTATGTTATTCAAAACTTGAAGTCTCGAGGTACCGTTGTTCTTTCAGTGCAAGAAACATATATACATTCATGCAGGTTCTTCATAGTTTAATTTCTTTAAATATAAAGCAGGGCCCTAACATTTGGCAGCAACAATTTGAAAAGTGAAATGACATTTATGGTGAACAAACACAAATGCCAAAATGAAACTAATAGCCCTTCTGGGCAAACTGCCCCTTTGAGCTTAAAAAAAAAAAAAAAAAAAAGAGAATTACAGAGAAAAACCCAATTTTTTGACACTCTTCTTTTTCCAAGCTACACACTCACACTTCTCGCAGATAATTATATCAATGAATAGTTGTATTTGGAGACATACTGAGACAATAAGAACTGTAAGAATGACAAAACTCACCAGATGATCAAAACTTTTTAGATCAGCAATAAATGAAAGGAACAGCAGTCGTAAATGATATCTGAATGTTCTCAAACCAATTTCCTATTCTCATTTGAATACTTTGCTGGCAATTTTACAGAATATGCCTGTTATGTGCTGGCACAATGCATGTGCCATTATTCAGCTGCCAGAAAAAATACAGAGTTGCCTACTTTGGCAACATACTGTTTTGCCCAGTGATTCTCATCATTGGAGGATAATGCAAAAGTACCAAAATTTTAAACTAATATTTCAATTGGTGCCACACGATGCTCTAAACAATTTAGTGCTTCACTTTTACATGCTTTCTAGTTTATACAAATGAGAAAGAGTAATAAAGTATCATAAGATTATCAGCACTATTAGAAGTAAAAAACAGACAAATTCTTGGACTAGATTATGTAAATTAGGTACAGTACATGATGACTTAAGATTCATTCTCAAGTTTTGACCAACAGCAGGATACTCATCCTCAACTTTCCTACTTTTCTTATTGTGTTGAGATGACAACTGACCTAAGGCTGGAGTGCCTAACGGATTATGTTATCTTGATGGGGGGGGGAAGTGATCAGCAAACATGCATTAACTGAAACAACTTCAAGTGTTACAGATTACACATTGTTATGCTAATAAAATATTACATGGTGCACAAGCTGGTGCTTTGTTAGACTCTTGCATTATTCACAGTGTTATAACTTCAAGTACTGCAGATTACAAATAGTTATGTTACATAAAATATTACATGGTGTACAAGTTCATGCCTTGTTAGACTTTCACATTAGTCACAGTGATTTTTATGTTGCTTTGTGCATTTAGCCTATTTCAACATTTAACATTTGGGGGAGGGGTATATGATAAGATAATAAAATAAAAAAGATTAAATAATAAAATAATAATAAAGAAATAAAAATAATAATACAGAGAAAACCTAAAAAAAAAAAAAAAAGACTGGAAATAATATTAATATATATAATATTAGAATTTAATTATTACTTTCAAGGAACAGTACTACAGTATATTGTAACTTAAATAAAGTAAATTCATTGCAACTAAACTAATTTAGATGTATGTAAAATAAATGTCAAATTAGGCTGACGAATAGAAACCATTAAAAATGTTATTAAAATTTATCTTAACATATGTATGACACATTATAAAATGAAATGAAAGTTAAATATTGTATAATACTTCTAGCAACAGATTTATTGTCAGCTTGCATTTCAACTTTCCTATTAATAATTGACAAGTCTTGTAAGCTAATTTACAACAGTCCTGAATTTATATATTGTATTAGTTAGTCTTTATCACTTATCTGCATAATAATATGTTTTGTTTATTTGCTTGTAACAGTATTAAATAAATGTATCATTTCAGTTAACCTATATAATTTTTCTGCAGAATAATATGTATAATTTATTTAAATTTTTTAAATAGAAAGAAAGCGTAAAAATCAAAATTAAATTATTGTTTACTTGCCAAAGACAAATTGACTTTTGTGAATAAGCAGGATTTGTTTTCAATTAATAATACCAACAAAGTTTGAAACCAGTTGAAATGAAATTTGAAAAAAAATAAATGTTACTAGAAATATTGTATAATATTTATGATTATTAACAAGATTGAAATGCCTTGCTCAGTGCTTGTATTTATGTACTATATTATTAAATAATAATTAACATTACTGGGCATGTACATCAAAACTCCTATCATCCAAATTCAAATATTTAACACTGTAAAAAGAAATAAACTATGCATATTATTATGCAGAAAAGTTATATAGCTTAACTGAAATGATACATTTATTTAATAGTGTTACGAGCAAATTAACAAAGCATATTACAGTACAAAGTCAGTAATCCGGACTCGTCGGGACTTCGGCGATTCCGGATTAGGGTTTTTCTGGATTATAGATCATCAATTTAAATCTGGTAAGATGGCATGCAGAAATTATACAATTAAAAATAAGAAACCATAATTCATTAAATAAAGAGCAATTATGATCTAAAGGGTATCAAAATTTACTAAAAAAAAGCTTAATATTTATTTGTTTACTTAAGTAAACATTTCTATCAATGTAAATTTTTTAAGTTGCTTCGTTTTTTGTGCTAATACTTTCTCTTTAATTCTGTAAACAGACATAATTTCTTCTTCAGTTACAAAGTTCCACTGTTCAAAGTCCTGTAATTGCTGTGTCGAGAATATCGACTAACTTGTCAAGTGAAATTTTTTCGTTTTAAATAACGTTCTCTGTTACTTTCTTCACTATTGGAAGCGCGCATGGGTAAACACTTTACTGGCTTTACGCGTATGCGCGCATCAAACGCGCATGCGTAGCAGACCCATTACACGCATGTGTAAGTTTGCGGCTTTGAGCTCCGGATTATAGATCATTCTGGATAATGGACTTTGTACTGTATTATCCAAATAAATGATAAAGACTAACTGATACAATACATAAATTTATAACTGCCGTAAATGAACTTATAAGACTTGTTGTCAATTAGTAGTAGGAACAATACTTGAAACCAGTTGAAATGCAAGCTGATAATAAATCTGTTGCTAGAAATATTATACAATATTTGTGATTAATAATGAAATTGTAAGCCTTGCTCAGTACAAATGCACATATACTGTATTTCTATACCATAATTAGTTTTTATTGTCTTCTTTCCTACTACCAACCTCTTGAGATGACTTCAAGTTTGAAAATTTTTAAGTGCCTTCTTTTTGCAAAGGTTTTACAAATGCTCGTTCTTTGTCTTTTACAAATGCTCGTTCTTTGTCTGGGATGCGAACCCAAACCCACTGGCATTTGTAGTCAACCTTTGTTAATCATCATACTGTCAGAGAAATCTTTTACATTGAAGAAGCCATTTTTGATAATATCAATACTTTTGATGCTAAAATAAAGATATGTGATTCGAGAATGTTCAGACAATTCTTGCAGAAAAGCTGACATGTTTGTTACTAACAACCACTGATACATGTGCAAACACTAGCATGACACAAGAAGAAACACTAAAAATTTAATTTTGATAATAGTTTTATAACTACAATACTTTTTCAGACTTTGCTTACATAATTGCTGCATTTCATTACTAAATAATTCTAAAGCAGAAGATGGCTCTGTTATTTTATTTAATTTAATGCTCGGCAAATATTAAAATTAACTATTAGTTGCATCATATTTTCCCATTATTTACTATGAGAAATTATATAATAAATGCTACCCTTAATAAGTATTATAATTCAAGCATTTCATACTTTAGCAGTAACAGACTTCAAGTGCCTGCTAACCTTTAGTGTTTTTTATTAACAAAAAATATTTTACATACAATATTTTATTTATTTCAAAGAAAACTATTTTTCACTTGCATGCAAGATAATTTTAATTATTGCTGAGTAAAAGTATAATGAGAATAAAACTGGATATGATGTGATAAATGGTAAAAGGTAAAGCTGTAAATCCTCTGATCTGATTAACATTATACAATGCTATTTTGAAAATACTGCATTTAAAGTTCAGTTACCTCTTCTGGATTAAGGTTTATCATATAACATAGAAAAAGATGAAAGTTCATGAAAAAGTAATCCAGCGAAATCAATCCAAAATAAAACAACATATGATTAGAAACAATATCACAAAACATAATAATACCTGAGTATTCAAACTTGGCTTAGATGTAGATGGAGAACTTTTGGACTGCACAGTAGTCATAATATGGCTTATAGACAGTGAAGATGTTGATAATGCAAGAGCATCAGTAGGAAAGCTTGAAGTATTTTGCACAAGTTGCTGAGATTGGCACATTTCATTTAACTTCCATTTTGTAGTAGGTAAACTTGTAACTGTAGTTGGAATAGCACTGAGGACAGCAGATGAAAAAGATGAGCAAACGGTAGTCGTAGTTAGTGTCTGATAGGACGAATGCTTAGGGAGAAGAGATGATTTTGTTGGTGATGGCTGAAATGCTGGAGAATCTGGATTAAGTATATGAACTGTCTGGGAGGAAGGATGAATACCTAACTCAGTGCAAGGATCAGAAACACTGCATCTGCCACTAATTTTTGAGTTGCAGAAATGAATGCTGGAGCTTTCTACGACTGTGTCAGTAACAGCACAAGAAAAACCTTTAAAATTTAAATATGTACATAATAATAAAGAAATTTATAAAATTTCTAAGTAAAATAATCAAGCTTTTTCATTAATGAATAACAATTATTACATACATTCTTTAAATGCAGCAGCATTATATGACTGTTTTTGATATGGTGTTTTATATGGTAGCATATATCTCATCTACTTTTTATTTCTTGTAACCTGTGAATGCTTAAGAGAAAATATTACATTTAAAAATGCAAATATATAATTAAAATAATTAGTATGAATGAATTAGTTTAGTTTAGTTTAGTTTGTACCTTCATGTTTCAGCATATGCCTTTTCTGCATTTGCCTTAAGAAAGTCATTCTGTATTGTTTCTAGAAACAGAATACTTTAATAGTTGCTTGGTTTTTCCAGAAACTACTTCACTATGACAGAAGTAATTTTATCAAGGCAGTACATCAAGCAACTATTTACAATTTTCTCTAAACTTTACACAGATAACTAATTAATGCAAATGATTAAAAGCCTGATGGATTCTTTGGGTCTTTGTCTGGTTTTGATACAGGAACAAAAGCTTTCTGCCATGCATTTGGGAAAATATATCCTTTTCAAATTCTGTTATAAAAAGTAAGAAAAACTAACATGAATGAACAAATGTTTGATCATGATATAACTAACAACATCAGGGCTTCAACAAGTTTTATGTGCATATGACAGTACTCTTTTTTTTTTTTTTTTTAGTCCAAAGGGATTTGAATCCCGAAGGACTATTAGTTTCGTTTTGGCATTTTGCGTCGGACTCATAAATGTCGGTTTACTTTTCAAACTGTTGCCACAAAATGTTAGAGTCCTGCATTATATTTGAAGAAATTAAATAATAATAATAAAAAAAATCTGAAATTTTTCAGACTTTAAATTACATCCAAAGGGGCGTTTTTTTAACGTTTTGAGTGTTACCTTTATTTATTAAATATCATGTTCTTTGCACTTAAACCATAAAATTCAGTTCAAGAGCAATATCGCAAAATAATGTTAAATTAAGCATATCTTTAGAATTTCCGATATACACAGTCTCGTGAGCTGGAGATAAAAAGTATTTTTTTTTCTATATAACATTGCCATTTCTCGCTTTTAAGGCATTGAGTTTGTAAATCAAAAATTCGTTAAAGTTTTACAAAATATAAAATCTATAATAAAACAAATTCCAAATTTGGGATTTCAGATGCCCATATTCGCAGTAGGATTTCGTCATTCAAAATTCGATGGCTCTATGTACCATTGTTTTATCACAATGCGAGAAATAGACAATCATTTATGCAGATTTTTCATTATTTAATTTCTTCAATATAATGCAGGACTCTAACATTTTGTGGCAACAGTTTGAAAAGCGAACCGACGTTTATGAGTCCGACGCAAAATGCCAAAACGAAAGCAATAGTCCTTCGGGACTGAAATCCCTTTGGACTAAAAATCTGCATAAATGTATGTATTGTGATAAAACAACGTATTCTCGTATTGTGATAAAAACAACGGTACATAGAGTCATCGAATTTTGAATAACGTAATCCTCCAACGAATATGAGCATGTGGAAGACCAAATTTGAAATTTGAAATCTGTTTTATGATCGATTTCCTATTTTTTAAAACTTTGACGAATTTTTGATTAACAAACTCAAGGATTTCAAAGCGAGCAATGGCAACGTTGTGCAGAAAAAACATTTTTATCTCCAGCGCGTGAGTCTCTGTATCGGAAATTCTAAAGATAGGCTCGTTTTAAAACTATTTTGCGATATTGCTGTTGCACTGGATCTTATGGTTTAAGTGCGAGGAACATGATATTTAATAAAGAAAGGTAACACACAAAATGTTAAAAAACGCCCCTTTGGACGTAATTTAAAATCTGAAACATTTCAGATTTTTTTTTTTTTTTTTTTTTTTTTTTTTTTTTTGAGTACTGCACCATATGCTTACGAGTTAGAAGAGTTGAATGAGATTAAGGTATTATTTTTCAGAGTGAAATTAAGCTTGTATGTAATTACTATGAATGAAATGCTTGTACATGCATACTACGATCTGATTAGCCTGTTCCTAATCTTGACATCACCCTACAAACCACTAGTCAAGTGACTAACACAAGGTGTTAGCCATTCTGCCCTACACTACAAACAGATCTGACTTTATGAATGACGTCCAGTTCAAATTGCTACATTTAAAAAATAAGTGGATGTCAAACACTTCTTCTCAATAAACCAGCAGCTGCTATCGCAAAAGGCACACCCACACTGTATCAACTTCTTACTTATTTGCAGATGAATAAAGTCAAGGTATCTAGATATTTTTAAATAAATATTATATAGCAGAGTCATTAGATTCATATATCTATTTTTTCCTCATTACATTTTGATAGTGATTTCAAGTAACAAAATAACTGAACAATTTCTTAAAGTAACAAAATAACTAAACAATTTCCTTACTAATACTGTTAAAAAGACAGCAATTTAAGATAGCATTTCCCCCTAATTTTAATTCCTTACTTATTTGCAGAAGTACTAATGGATCAAAATGCTCAGATACTTTTAACTGCATATTTCATGCAAATGTTAGTTCAGTATTTAACAACACATGCATTACAGTAATCAGTGAAATTTTTTTCACCTTAAGCTATTATAACTATGATTTTCACTGATTCTTCACTCTAAATTTTCATTCTAAAATGTAGTACAGTTAACTTCTGTGTGCTGTGTTTGATGTTCCTATCGTTGTTATAAAAAGTGTGTCTGCAAATTTCATGTGTGTTAAAATGTTTCAATAGCTGAAAACTGCAGTGACCTTTGATGAACACTATCTTTTAAAAGTTTTTCACCAAAGGAATATTCACCATCTTCGAACCTATTTACTAAAACAGTAGAAGAAAACTGAAAGATATGTATTCACTGTTATTTTATTGAAATTATATTTTTGGCATCCTTGCCAGGATGACGGAATATTATTTTGCAGTTATTGAAGAAAATATAATGTGTTCATTGAATGTATTGAATATTAATTTAGAAGTCAAACAACAAAAATCAGTGTTATATTTGCAAATTAAAATATACTGTGAAAATTTGCAAATAATGCCGGTTTTTGTTGTTTGACTTCTAAATTAATATTTGTTCGCCATGTTATTTTAACCTAAATCACTAAGTACTGAATATTTTGAAACATTCTGATCAGAAAAAATTACTTCTAAGCTGAAAATGGAAATGAGGCACTTCATTACGCCGCGGCACTTAGAACTCTGACATGAAAATGCACCATTACATATGTTTTGCAATACATGTCAATCACCATATGCTGTGTTTTCTTGAGGATGTAAGGAAGAAACTAAGTAACTTGTTAACTAGTGCAAGCTAGATCAAATTCTGTTTCTCTTAAAAAAGCAACTATACCCCAGTTAGAATTACATGTTTGATATATTGGTGCTAGATTAGCAAATACTGTTAGAAATGATTTGAAAATATCCAATATGGAAACGTTCTCCTGGTTTGATGAAATGGATGCCATCTGTTGGATTAAGAAGAAGGATAATTGGAGTGCATTTATTTCTAATGGGAAGACAGAAATTAGAAGTTTGACGTCAATCGACTAATGAAACTATGTACCAGCAGTACAAAATCTAGCTGATTTTCCACGTCAATGAACTGGGGAAAAAAAAAAAAAAAAAAGACAGGAATCCTATTTGGCTAAAATATTCAAGAGATAAATAGCTGACTTTTGAACTCATGCTAAATGAAGAAATTGTACATTCAGAAAGGAAGATTATAACATCCTCTAAAAATGAAGAGAAACTAGATTTCTTCTGTTGAGTAACCATCATACAAGAAGATAATTAGAATTACATAATGGATTTATAGATCCTTCAGGAATACTAAATGACTTGTCAAGAAAAGCAAAGGACCATTAATGGTGCATGGAACCAAGAAAGCAGAAAAGATGATTTTGAAAAAAGTCCAAGAATAGTTCTTCACTTGAAAAAAATGACAAACACTTCCAGTCTTTATCAACAATTACTAACTGATGGATTAGTAAGTGTGAAAAGAAATCTTCCTAAGCAAAACAATAAAGAATATTTCAGACTTCTCAAGGTATTACTACATTGTTAAAAGCTTGATTATGTGGATGCATCATACACTGGGGATGCCAATGCCCAGTATTTAATGTCAACATTGTGAAAAGATTATTGGATATTGAAGAGCAGGAAAATTGTTAAGATGATTATAAAAACAATACAGTTAGTAAACAATACATTATAAAACCTATGAATGCATTTGCAGGATTTTTACTAGAACATTTTTGAGAAGATTTAGCTTTTGAAGCCTTAAGAGTGGATTTTTTTGGTCCCTTGCAATTAAGAAATGGATCTAAGAGTTGGCCAGTATTGTTTACACTGAATTAGAACCATCATTGTTTACTGATAGTTGTTCTATTCTAGCACTGAGAAGATTTAATGTGAGAAAAGATTGCCCAAGTGTCATCTATTAAAGCAATGAACAAAGTTGGTGGGAGAAGCTAACAACTAAATCATTTGATTGGTCTAGAATGCGGTAATGTACATTGTTTAAGAGAATTACCTGAAAATTCAGCCCACCATCAGCATCCTGGTGAAGTGGATTTTAGGAGCACCTAATAACACATGTTAAAAAACAGGCATGTTTTAGAAAATGCTTATTTAGATTATAAAGATCTACACACAATACTCTGGAATACTGACAATATAATGAATAATGGACCCTTGATCTACATGTCTGAAGACAGTAGTGCTTTTATGCTTTTAACTCTCATAATGTTATTACAAGAAATAATAGAAGTGAGAGTTCCAGATTTAGACCTAAACAATTCACGCTAGGCTAAGAACTATGCTTAAAGACAAAGAATTTGAAAACAGCTCAGAAAACAATATAAGTTGTATAGTTAGAACAGTTGAGAGACCCTAACATGACAGCAGAAGAATACAATTTAGAGAAAAGGCATGATACCCTTTATGGAGATGATAACATAAAGAAATAACCAATATTCAGCCAAAACAGGTTTAAATATATCCAGGAAAAGGCAGAAAAGTACATGTGGCAGAAATCAAGACCAAATATGGGCCTTATTTATGACCAGTCTACATATTACATTCATTAGAAATTAAAGACAATGACAAATTATTAAAAGAGAATAATCTTGATATAGTGGCTCGTGACTATAGTTTAATTCCTACCATGAACATTCCACGTTATCCTGAGTGTCTTGAACATGATTTTGTTGTCATTCAAAGATCACAATTTTGATAGCCATTGAAAAAGAGATAATGAATGAACCTGTGACACTGAATGTTCTTCACTTATAAATCTCCGAATCTCAAAAGGCGAAGAATATTATGAACATTTCCTTCCCTAAGCTATTGTAACTGTGAATTTTGCTGACAGTAATCATTCTAAGTTTTGATTGTGAAATGTAGTATAGTTGACTTTTGTGCACCGTGTTCAATGTTCCTGTTGATGTTGTAAAAGTTGTGATTAAACTTCATGTTCATTAAAATGTTTCAATAACTGAAAACTGCAGTGATCTCTGATGAACTTTTATCTTTTAGAAATTCTCAGCAAAGGAAAGTTTGCCATCTATGAACTTGTTTGTGGAAATAGTAGAAGAAAACTGAAAAGTATGTACTCACTGTTATTTTATTGAAATTACAACAGCTGTTTCAGCTGACTATAAATTTCCTTTCAGTTCACACACACACACACACACACACACACACACACACACACACAAAAAAAAAAAAAAAAAAAATAAAATTTAAATATCCATAATGTCGTAAAAAAATTTTAACACATTACATTAATTATAAAGCTCCAAAAATTCCATACTTCTTAAACACTATCTAGAAATTCATAAAGTTTATTTATTTTAAAACTTACTTAATTTTACATACAATTTCTACTATTCAATACTAGCAACTATTCAAGAATGCAATGAAAAATTTTTATTGGTCAAACATTTTTCATTTAAATCAAAGTTGAATTAATTATATTGCCTTACTTTCTGAAATGAACTGTCCAACAAAAGAATCATTTGATGCTCCACATATTGATGATATCAGAGCTTCAGAAGTACCATGACTGCAATATACATATGTGTATATGTTAACGTGAAAGACCGAAATTGGAGAATGTCGACTTTCACCGGAGAATGTCAACATTCACCAAATACGTCGGTGAAAGATCGAATATTTCTTTACATTCTTGTACATTCGGACCCTCACCGGTGTATGTCGACAATCACAGATATGCTCTGGTGTAGGTCGAAAAGAGAGGAGTATATGTACACGCTGCCATTCCAAAAGGAAGTGTTCCACAAATAAATGCAGCTGTAAAAGCAAGGGCCTCTTGTGCAATTCGAAGTGTCATAATAGTTTAAGTTGTTGCAATAAATAAGATTTGAATCACATAATTTGGTAAGTTTATAACTTCTATTATTTTCCTTTCTCATTTTGAATGTACTGTGTGTTTTAAGTTCTTATATTCTTAAGTTCTTATTCTGAGTCTCAAGTGCGTTTTTTCACGAATGAATTACGAAGAAGGAAATATAATATTCTTATATGTTCAACATTCACCATTAGTACATGGTGAATGTCGACATTCACAGGTGTAAGTCAGAAATAAGAGTATTTGGAAAATATTTCGGACATACACCAAGCGACTATGTGAATGTTGACATTCGCCGGTGAAAGTCGACATTCTCCAGATTTCGATGTTTCACCGTAACATATATATATATTAGACTGGGAAAAGTTATACTGTCTATTATACAATTATGCACTCAAACACACACAGCCATGAAATAAAAAGTGAAACAAAACAGAAATACTTTAAGCTAGAAATTTGCTAATATTTAAATTGTGGATACCTGTTTACATTAACTGACAAAGAACTATTTGAAGATACAACATTATCTTTTGGCTTGCCAGTAGAATTATCAGAAACAACACTTCTTGCACTTGGCCCGGAACTCAAACTTCCAAAACTACGTTTATTTCTTGTTCTAAACCTAGCAGAATTCAAAAAAATTAATTCAGAATTCAAAATAATCAAAAAAATTAATATTAAAATATTAGTTATAATGCAGAGTTTCATACTTATCCAGCTCTTCTTGAGAGTGAGCAAACGTGCAACTAGTACCACGAGGACAACTTCCACGCTGTGTTAAATCTCGACACATACTTGTTTTATATTTTGTATTCAAGTTTGGTCTGTCTTCATGCAGCTTACGATTACCAAAATTTTGCAGAAATTCTACCAGTCCTTTAACAACAATCTTTGTAGCTTCTTGAGCATTTTTCAAATCTTTCCATGAAGGTGGTGGTGTATCTAAAAGAGTAAAAACAGGTATTTAAAAATGGTCAAACTTGGAAAATGTACTTTGAATAAACGAAAACACTGAAAATGTCTTAAAAAACAAGCACAAAATGTTAAAAACTGAAAGTAGTTTCCAATATTAACACCAAATCAGTTCTTGAAAGTTATTAAAAGTTCTGGAAAAATGGAGACAAGACTTCACCTCATATTTAGATTACAATTAATTACATAGGTATGTAGTTGTTTTTAATATTTTTGAAAGTTGCATCATTTTTTATATTAAAAAAAATGGCACACAAAATTATGTTTGTGGATTAGACACCCAGGACTCAACAGGAACAACACCAGCAAATAGCAAATCTAAGTAAAATATTAGTCAGTAAAACGAATATATAAATTGATCTACTGGGGTGATTTTGAGGTGATGTTTAACCAATTGCACTGGTTGCCCTGTTGGCAATAGACTAAATGGAACATGAGTAACCATCAGACCATCAAGGCAAGCGTGACTAGAGATCAGAATTTTTGACGCAATCCTCTCTTTCTTGCCAGTTATGGAAATAGACAAGAAAATGGAAACAATGCTTATCATACTTTTAGAGAGACTTAAAAAAATTCTCATGAAATTCATTAAATCTTGATGGCTGTTTATGAAGATAACACAATAAAGGAAACACTAATGAAAAAATATCAACAAACGATGAATGCTGCCTTCCACATGAAGATTCTTAAGCACTTGAAGGATCATGTGTAATCATGTCCAACTAAATTTGTATTGTTATGGATTTGGTATTTAAATAGCTAATGTTAGTTGAATTATAAATTAAATTGTTTTATTCCCCGTGCAGTGCAGCGCGTGACAAATATTATGAGAAAGCTAAGTCGGAAAAATTAAAAATACAAGAGCACGCGCATTTATCATTTAATAAATAAATATTTCTTTTTGGTTTCGAGAAAGTTCCAGAAAATTCTCGCACGCGATTTAAAATTTTAGAGGAGGAAAACCTATCAGTTCATTGTTATTAGTTAGTTTGCTGTTGTTTTAAGAGTTTGCTTAGAAAACTGCTCCTGTTGACTGTAGCGAATTCGCGGATTAGCCTTTCTTTAGCTGTTTTGAATTAAGTTCTCTTGAATGTTTGAGTAATTAAAAGATAACTACTGTGAGATATTGTAATATTGCATGAATATCTGAGAAAATTGAAGTCTTGTTTTTTATTTATTTGTGATAATAATAAATCTTATTCATTTTTTTATCGGACTTGTTCATTCAAATCCAAACGAACCCGTACATACGCAACAGTATCATGGTGATGGATGGCTACTGCATAATAACACTGTGCCTGCACATTCAGCAGAGAGTGTCTACGGGTTTCTGGCCTGCAACACGGTCACCACATTAATTAGATCTTTATCTCACTAGACTTTGCTTCTTGAGATTACTTTTTGCCCCAAATGCAAAAAGGTCATCGCGGGGCAGTGCTGGGATATTAAAATGAAAATAAGACAGCTAAAAATCCCTGACTTCTGAGGACTTATAGAAATGGTTTGAATAACAAAAATAGAGATTGGACAAACGTATTGTTATAAACGGAGTATTTCAAAGGGGATTAGATAGATTTACCTTAAGGTTTACAATATAGAGATTTTATGACTTCAGTTTAGATATTTATTCAATAGATTACATAAGATATTTGTATAACATAAATAATTACATTTAAGATTAATTGATGATTTAATCACAGTGTGAGTCAAATTCACAAAAGCATTGACTGTCATTTTAATATAGTACAAAATTGATCACATGCAAGTGTTAGTAAACAAGGAGAATGCAAAATAATAAAGTATTACTATTTAGCATTTACATTAATAATCTAGTGAATTTTATATAAATTTAAATTTCACATCCATATGCTTTTTAACCATATTAATATCTATCCATTAACTCATTATTATTAATAACATCTATTTTTGAATAATTTCCATATAAGAACAGTGATTTATTTACTGCAAAATTAATTACTGATAGTTAAATTAATACATAATCTTTGGCTAATTATTATGCATTATTATTCTCTATTAATTTACATACTTGATTGCCATCTTATGTTTTTACTGATATATTGTTTTAATTGATTAATTTAAACCTCTTATCAACAATCTATATTATACTTTCCTTATTATTTTAAGATAAAAATCAATGTTGCAAAAATGAATCATTTCATTTCTATTTATTTCATCTTTATTATTTTCCTGCTTCTTTTAAATGCAGTAGTTTAGTATACTAAAAAAGATGACCGTTTCTAACAAACTCAATTAGAAACATTAAAAATCTGATGTGTACACCACATGACTTCCTTGCTTGGAATATTAAATTATATGCATTTTTCCTGCATTTTATTTAAATTTATAGAATTGAATTAAAGCCACTTCGTCAATAGCGTATAAACCCCAATAGAATATATACACTCTTTAAAATTCACTATATTTATTTGCCATAGGAACACTCTGCCACTAGGTTCACTTAACAGCATTACATTTCATTCATTTTATAACTCAGAATGTGCAAAAATTATATCATGTGAAGAATTATCTAATCTTTGTCACATGTTCTATTCAAATACTATACTAAATAATAAATCTAAAACGATGTATAAAAGAAATCAGACAAATAAAAAAGAAACAGTTGTTATTGCAAAGCTTAGACTGGCAACAAATCCACTAATCTGCTAAGTTTCAAATGTAAGCTTTTAAATTGTTGATAATTCTAAAAATATTGCATGCAGGCTAACTAAAGGAGCAAAAACCTTAACTGGAAGATAAGAACAACATAATTCAATCATTTTTAAAGCAAAAAATGCACAATTTACCAACATATAAGAATAAAGAAATTTAGCTCGAGGAGCCAAGTAACAGGCAGAGTTTATGTATACATTTACTTACTCTTCATAAGGCCAATTGCCACCAAAAAAGGGAGGTGCACAACTACATCCTATAGCTATCCTATATACAACATTTCAACATCCTGAGGCTACATGTTTTTGAGTTATGCAATATACATACATACTCGAGTATGTACCTACAGACGCCACGAAAAAATCTCTTCTGAATCCATTTAAAATCAGCTTCATAATTTTTTGGGGAGTCCTTTATTCTGTCCATTCGTACAGATGTCATGCAAAAACATAGCTAAATTACATTCAATAGCAGTCAAAATGGATATTTTTGTTGAAATATGGTAACTGGAATTTTTCGTGATTACAATACTTCCTTTACTTTGTACAAGGAAGTAAAAATTTATTTAACTTTAATACTAACTACACATACACTGCATCATTGAGAGATAAAAAGAACATCTTTTATCAATATTAGTCATTAACTCATTTTGGGAATAATTTACTTGAATTACTAATATCAGTTTTGTTTCAAATGTTTATTATACACAAGGTTGTATGAAATCCAGTGCAAGTTAAAAAAAAATTTAATAAAATTTTGCATTTTAATACCACTTTAATTATATTAATTTCTTCATTCCTCTATTTGCTATTTGAAATAAAATATAAAAAGTTTTTAAAGCTATTAATTATAGTAAAGGTGCACAGATGTACAAAAACACCTTTATGCAACAATCATTCAAACCCACAATCAATTAATGTTAATACCATCCCATCAAAAACTACAACTACAAAAGAAAAATGCATGAATCATTATTTTTTCAGTTAGAAATTCCTTAACAGAATACATTACTTCATCATCAGAAAGAGTACCTGTGGTGAGATAATATTATTATTTTGTAAGCACTTAGATCAATGGTTCTCAACCTTTTGACTAATGCGAACCACCTAAACAAAAATTGAAACACTTTCGTACCACTACTACATTTTACAATGATTATTTTTTAATTTCTCTATAGAAATATTTAAAAAATATATTTTTTGCCATTTGCACAACTTATTGGCTATATTAAATGCGCACACATAAAAAAATATTAAATTAAAAATTGGTTATTTTAATTATCAAAATTTAAGTTATAATACCTTAATTCTAAAATTTAGTGTAAAATTTGGCCGTGTTTCAGAGAGATATTTTTTTTATTTATTTCACTTAACATTAACCATAAATTAGGACCTACTCTTAATTTTGTTCTGTATTTCTTTTTCAAATAAAATGTGGAAGAAAATAATTGTTCACACAAATAGGTTCTTTAAGAAAGGCAATAAAAATTTAATAGCTTTATGTGAAATGCCTTTATTTATTTATTTATTTATTATCATTTTGGTTCAGCCAAACGTTAAAATGTGTGCTATTTTTGAAATCTTCAGTTAGAGTTCGATGACAGGAAGTTTCTATCAATTTTTCTTTTTCTTCATGAGATCTTTGAAATTAATAGCTAAAAACACTTTCTAGTTTTGTGTACCATCAGTGGTACACATACCACCAGTTGACAATCGCTGACTTAAGAATGTTTATGAGCTACATAATTGGTATTTTTTCCCTATAAACAATGGCAAATTATGGGCAAAAATAAAGAGAACTCTAGGACCAAATATGTTTTGCCATTTCTGTTCAATTATTTTGCTAACATGTAGTAATTAAATTCATACCTTACAAAGAAACAATTACCTGGACCTGGATCTATACCAGCTAGTAATTCCAAATGTGGTCTTAAAACAGATAAATTTCCAGGATCGCCAGTCCGTTGAAGTGCGATGACTAATTCCTGAACACTCTGCAAGAATGACTGAGGTGTTTGCAACTAAACAACAAATAAAAATTTATTTACAAAATAATCATTACTTGCATTTTATATCAAAATCACCTATTTCAAACATACTAAACATATTTTCCTGTTAGCCATGAAAGTTAGTGGAGATCCTACCAAATTTACTCCAATCATTCTTGAGGAAGTTTGAAGGCAGAGATCGTTCTTTATTTAGAAAGATGATTACAGATCATTCTTTATTTAATTAGATAGTCAACAAACATGAGTTACAGATATAGAATATAAAAACTTAAATAAATAAGAGCTCAAGCTTTGAGATTATCTTACAAATTTCTCATAATTTACAATCATTCTCACAGCCAAACGGCTTTTAAAATAGTAATAAAAGAAACTTTTTTTGTGAACTAGGTGCAACATAAAATACTTTAAATACAAATCTGAGTAGCATCACATGAATATCTTAAACTACACTATTTTTTCAATGTTTTGAAAATGGACACTGGTATAATCAGCCCTTCAATTCTGAAAATACTCCACTGCTTGCTCTATAAAATGCAGGTCCAAAATTTTTATTTTTTAAAATGCAATAGAAAAGCTGAGTATAACAGTTAACTTATGTATTTTTCACAAGAATTAAACTTGCTTACAAAAGATCTTACAGTTATATAAAAGAAAGGAAAGGTTTTATGAATCTGCTGTTATTGCCCACTCATTCATTTATTAGCACTATATTGGTCTGCTTGGCAATAGTTTTTGTTTCTCAAAAATGATTGTTAGGAAAACATGTAATTACCATTTTTAATCTATTTCAATGAAATACCATGCTCAACATTTTGAAAAAGAGTACAGCATGGAAAAGGGAAGAGCAATCTTTTTGTATGATATATGAAGTAGTAGTTAAATTTACAATAAAAAATGCAAATTATTATAAATATTACAGTTATAACTTGCAAGTTGAAACTATGACCAGGAAAAATTACAGGCAAAGTAAAGTTTCAATAAATATATCTTGGCAGAAAAAATAAGATGGAACAAATTCCATTTAATTTATTCTTAAAAAATACACAAGATAATATTTTTCACAATATAAGTTTTATATAAAATTTTAAAATATGCAAACATTTTAAAAAGAACAGATTTGAATTATGACAAAACGTACAAGGGATATCAATCTAAGGGAAAACAAGCTTTTGTACAGGAAACTTGATATGAGAAACTCATCCATATTCATTTTAAGCATGGAGAAAAACATAAAGCTGATTTAGTAAAACCATTGAAACCAGTCCTGTGAAAATTTGCAAATACAACGTTGATTTTTGTTGTTTGACTTCTAAATTAATAAACTACTAGTGTTCAGTTATCTTATCAGTCACAAGCAGGCTTTAAAAAGATCAGATATGAGAAATTAAGTTTATGTTTTGATTTGTGAACTCAGTTAACTATTAACCAGAAATTAGTAAATGATTATTATTTCACTAATCTAATTATTAACATTTATAATTAGATTTGGATACCAGTAAAAGTAAAATCATCTTAGTTTGGATAAAGAATTCCATTGTTCAATTCTGTTATTAACATTTAAAATTTGACAAATGTGAGAGATACTTCTTACATTTATCTCTCCATAGTTCATCAAAGTCAATTTTAAAACAAAAACTCACTGTTAGTCTAACAAAGGGTTTGCTAATAGTATGACTTGAAGACAAGACTGAATACAAGCATAATGAAGAAAGAATTCTAATCAACAATGAAACTAAATGCATCTAGTGAAATTTTAATATTAATATCAAATTTTAATATTGATAGGTGAAATGTACACCTATCAATTCATACTTCAGTATAAAATGAGATTTGACAAAATATACTCAAATTAATGATTTAAGCTAACACCTATTATTACATGGAAAATATTCTCAAAGTTGAAAGATAAAATGTCAGCATGAAATAAGTTAGTAAAACAAGTTTTAATTATAACTAAAATATGTATCATTTGCATCAAAATTTAAAAAATGCATTCAAACTTTTGAACTTACTTTCTAAAAAACAGTCAGCAGTGTAGTATTTCCAAAGATACAGAACTGAATTTATTGGTGCTCATACTCAATACACTTATTCTTATATATTTACTGCCCTTGCAAATATATACTGCCCTTGCAATATTACTGCCCTTGCAAATATATGCTTATATATTTTGCCTTTGCAAAATGGAGCAATAAAAGATACAGTAAAACTAAATGACACCACTCATATTCATAGTTAAGCAAATATATACAGCAGAGAATTCAGAAAGAAGGTAATAATTTTGTGCCTACTTTAAATGCCATTAAAGATTTTTGGCCACCAGAATTATGTGCACTAATTTTAAAGACTTTGTTTGACAGATAATTTCAAAGCCTGAATCATAGTTATAAGTTTTTTATATGCTATATCAATAATGTGCATTTGCTGGTTATTGAACTAAATAATGAGTGATCTGCTCTTTTAAAGCTTTAATGAAATAGTTAATGCAAGTTTTGCAAGACATCTGACAACTTTCACAATCGATGGGTACTGTATCAATGCAAGTACTGTTTATTTTTATATAAATATAAAAAATTCTCATTAAATTTAACAAGCTGAATTTTCTAAAAATTGACATTTATTTACATGTATACAAAACTGTGTATGAATAATAATCAGAATTCTATTGCAATTAACCCGTCTGAGTGCCAAGACTTTCTTTATACGGTCATGAAATTTTTTGCCACTTGGCATACATTAGCTTATAATTTAAGATATTTTGCTTTCTTTCTTTAATAACATAAATGGCATCTGAATAAATGTAAGTTTATGAAAATAGAAACTAAATAAGTAAATACACAAATTTAGTTAATAAAGGCTGTTTAAATACAGGCATTGGTGGAAGACCCAAAAACCCATACTGCTAAGAGGGTGAACAGATTAAAAGGAAAAACAAATACTGAAAATAACTAGTACTTATATTCATTTTATATAATATATACAAATATATTAATAAAACTTTTAATATAAATCTTTGATTTTTACTATACCTTATCAATAATAGACTGCATATGAGATTTGTGAGCTGTATCACCATACAGAAGTGAGGACCACTGCTCTGGAGCAATACGTAATCCTGCATCAGTTGCTATTTGCACTATCTGGGCATCATGCTCTCTCCTAAGTGCTTCATACACACAAAACTCTTCTTTCAGTTGCATCAATGACGAATCACCTTCATGTTTAGAAACCTACATAATTTTCAATAAATTTTAATGTGAATATTTGGTACTACATCTTTATCTTTATGGCTCCCATTTTTAATTGCTGCCAAGAATACCATAAAACTCATCACAAGAGCTGTTAATGGCAATCCTAGTAACAATCATTTAACTAGTTTACTCGTTAGAAGAAGAGCTGCGAATAGGATGCATGTTAACATATTTCCTTTTTTCAAAAAATAATTTTACAGATTTTTGATTTACTGATGACTGAGGAGTTAAAAGGTGAAAAGCATTTTCATATTTAAAAAAAAAAAAAAATCAAATTTTTGATTTACTGATGATTGAGGAAAACACAATTATCATTCTTACAATAAAGAATCACTTTATCACACATTCAAATATCCAAAAATGCTCATGAAATGAAAGTATGTACCATATATTCTGCCATATAATGTACAATTCTAATATAAAAAATAAGATTGAAATTTATGGGTGCACGTTATAGGCTAGATATAAAAATGATAAATTTTAAAATTAGGAAAAGATGAGCATATAAAAGTTAGATTTTTACATTTTCTTAAGTGTTGTTTATTTAAAAGACATGACATGCCTTGTGAACTTAAAAACTACCGTTATTGGATAACGTGAAAAGTTCGGCATATTTGTCTTTTGTTATATCATCAGACACATAATTGAATTCTCTTTCATTACTCACTGTTACTCTGATCCATAAATAAATAATCATCCTACACTACATCTAGATTGTTATATATACTATATAGTCAAAAGTCGTTAATTTGGACAGACATAATCCGGAATGATCTATAATTCGGACCTCAAAGCTACAAACTTTCTGCGCATGCATCGCGTTGACGCATGCGCGTAAGACCTTTACGGCTGCGAATATGTGTGTGCGCATAATACGTTTACGCATGCGCATTTAATGTATAACAAACAGTATAAGCTAAGCTAAAATTATCTAATTCAGTTAATGTTGCAGATTGCGTTGTTCCTTAATCTTCAAATTGGATCCGGCTTATTATTTTTTGCAGACTGTTAGAGCAATTTTATAAAAGTAAGCTTGAACTTTCGATTATGTCAAATAGAATTTCCGATATATATATTTACTAATATGTAAAGGATCTACAAAGCCAAAGTATGTTTCGAAGTCCATTAAACAAAAAGTGTAATTGCTGCAAAAAATGGATAAAGGCATATCCTTCGTTTATCTAACCATTCCGAAATCTGTTTATCAATTTCACGCTGTTCTGAGGCCGGGTAGGGGATACGCCGCGGCACGCAATGAATTGGAAGTTGATCTGTCAGCACTATCCCTATCTTCAGGGCAGATGTTTTTATTTTATTTGGCTTATAATTCCTTACTAAATGTAGTATTTGATCTCGATGTGCTCCGTCTTTGATATGATTTAAATCAAATTCCTCGTCATTATAATTCGCTTCCAATAGCGAAGAAAGTGACACAGAGGTTATTGAAAATGAAAAAATTTTGATTGACAAATTAGTCGGTATTCTCGACACAGCAATTATAGGACTTGAATAGCAGAACTTTGTAACTGAAGAAGAAATTATGTCTGTTTATAGAATTAAAGAGAAAGTATTATCACATAAAATGAAGCAACTTAAACAACTTACATTGAAAGAAATGTTTAATAAAGTAAACAAATAAATATTAAGCTTTTTCTTTTTGTAAATTTTGATACCCTTTAGATCATAATTTTCTTTATTTTATAAAATTACGGTTTCATATTTTTAATTTTATAATTTCTGCATGCCATCTTACCAGATTTAAAATGATGATCTATAATCCGGAATGGCCGAAGTCCCGACGAATTCGGATTAACGACGTTTGACTGTACTACATTTTTTAAATGACATTTGCACTATGTCAGATTAAAATTCATTTCGTGTTTTTATTCACACTCACACAGATTGGCATTATGCATTTGGTCACTGATAGTAACTGTTTTTTCATTTTGCATCCATTTATTCCACTGCCATTCTAAATTTCCTTTGAATAGTTTACTAATATACACATCTAAAGGCTGAACTAATGTGTTAACCACCTTGAATAACTGCTATGTCTGTATCACACACTTCCAACAGTTTCTTCTTATCATTCGTTAGATGAAATCTAAACATGTCCCAAACTAGAAGACTTTCTGGACTTTTTAAGGCAACAGGATTCAACATTTCTTACCCACAATAATTTTTGTCCATTCATTTTTTTTCTCTGAACATGAATGAAAACACTATTTGGGAAATTACTTTTTGGCAACATCTTTCTTTTAAAAATAATCATGGGTTTTGATTTTATTCCGTCGGCTAAGTAGAAATGTGTCATAGTGAGGTAAGGTTATTCGATATCTCTTGTTCTTATGTAAACCATTTTTGTTCATTTCACATCAATTTCCTATCATATAAAATATTACAGGAATTTCATCCATATTTCCAATACGTGAAAATAAATAATTTTTTGTTTTTGCCTTCTTAGGTTAATAACATACTTCTGGAAACTTATCAATTTATTGTCCAACTATTTCGGAAGCCTTTGTGAAACTTTTTCCCCTCATAAAGTAAATTATTCTGTGCCATAAATCAACTAAACCAACTCAAAGTTTTCACTTTCATTTCACTCATTTTTCCTTAATTTAACAACAATAAACATCCACTGTTTCCTGTTACAATTAGTCTTTTCTGGAGATTTTCTAGACCCAGTTTGCAACACTTTCTTCAAGGATAGGCCATTTTGTTTCTCCTTTATGTAAAGCGCATTTATTCTTTGGAATATTAATTAATATGACTAATTTTTCTTTCACACATATGGAGCTTTCACTAATACCAAACATCCCTGCTGCAGCACAATTTCCATTTTCTTTTGCAAACTTAATGACTTTGTATTTGAAACCAGCATTGTGTTTGTTTTGTTTGGCATCAGCCATGTCTACTACTGAAAGGAACATCAAAAGAGCATTCTTTCATCAAATTACATTCTCCTTTTCTTGAAAACCTAGAATAACATTCTTGTGCACATCTGCACTGAATACAACCCACTCACTTTGCAGAATTATTTACTCCTTCAAGCTTTTCCTCATTACACATATTGTTCCCCTTATCGCTTGTCAATTGAATATATCATTGTTCAAAAACCTGGAAAAAATCTTCAAATGAATGACTTCAAAAGACAACAGCATCACACAATGTATCTTTCAGGTTTCTTTGTACAGAAAGAGTGCACATTATGCATTGAAAATGTAGCAATTTAAAATGTAGTTTGAAATTGTAGGTGCATGTTATATGCCAGAATATATGGTACATCAATATAAGCATTTTCAGGTGCAACATGAAAAGTTACAAGTGAAAGAAAAGCATACGTTTTGCTTTAGAATAACACATTTAACAGTGCTAATATTGATTAGTGGTGTTAGAAACAACTCAACTTTAGGGAAATATGACTGCCAATTGAAACAGTTTTGTGAGAGATCTTATGTTCTCTACATTTAATCTGATGATCAAATAAGTAAACAGTTGGTCCTTGAAAATTGTGGAAATGGATGAAAGTCTGTTCAACTGACGAAAAGAATAACATTGGTAGGATTCTTTCTCAAATATGGGTATTTGGCATGTTATGCTAAGAAACCTGCAAGTGCTTTTGTTTAGATTCTGAATTCAAAGACAAAAAGACTAATGGCAAAAAATCATGAACCACTTGCTAAAGGGATCAACAATTTATTCAAACTGTTGATGAGAAAACATAACAGTGAAATTGAAAAAAGAAGTGTATGTTCACTTCTTTCTGAATCATAAATTTCCTTCTGTGGATTCAAAAACGGCTGCTCATATACACAATTTTGAAAGAGCATAGGGCTTTGCTATGCAGCAGCATAAAAAGTAACAAGGCACAGCTCAATTTTATCTTAAGTCCTATCTTGCACAGTTCATACAGCAAATGTCCTCGGTACTTTTGATACCATATTAAAAGCAATCACATAAATATGGATGGCAGTCAGGAATTGTATATGAGATGCAAACATGAACTTGACTGGAATTTTAGTGCCATCCTAATGAGGGCCATAAAGGTAAGTACTGAAATTTTTAAAATCTGGGGAATCAATTCTAATGAAATGGGACACATAAGGTCAGGAAAAATGATGCAATTTTCTAAAATTTGATCTCTTATATTTTTAAAAATTCAAAAGAGCAATTTAATAGTTTAATGTTTTTGATGCCATATTAAAAGGGATCATGGAAATATGGCAGCCAGTAATTGTATGTGAAAAGTAAACACCAACATTATACACTGAAATGGAATATGTAAGGACAAAAAAATTATACTTAGTCACATGGCTACTGTGATTTTCTAAAGTTTGAGCTCTTAAAATTTTAAAAACATAAAACTTTAGTACACATTTTACAAAATTATATTCAGTTGAAAATAAAAAAAATAAACACTTCTTTTCTCTGAAGCATTAATATGTAGCAACCTTTCAAAGTACCAGTTTTTCACATAAAATACATTAATCTAATCCACTTAAGAGAAAATAATTTTTAAATGATATTTAAGCATTTAATTTGTATAAGAAATTCACATAATTATTAATACTATCTCCAAGGCTAATTACTGGAAAAACACTGTTCTGTTAAGTATTTTTAATTGATTACAAATAAGTAAAATCAGATTAACCAACTAATGCAGGAAATTATTACCTCTTTATTAAACAATAATATCTGCTCAATGTATTCCTCAATATTTTTGGAAATCGTATTTTAAGTTTAAAATGAATCACTATTATCATATCTTGACAATGTGATACAGAGATGGAAAAATCAGAATTTCAAAAAATATTTTTATCTCTGAAACATGATAATTATTTTATTTATATACTTATAAATATAACATTTTTGAATGCTAAAAAGCTAATGCAATATTTACATTTTACAAGAATATTCAGCTTTTCAGTACCAAGCAGAACAAGATCTGCTAACTGAAAATGAATAAATGGCATAAA